ATTGTTGCAGCAAAAAAAAAAAAACTAAATAAACACTTTATTCGCTTATTTAATATTTTAAGACAAATGTGCTCTTGCTATTTTATTTTAGGGAAAATCGTCCAAAACGTTCCTCATATTTTGTAAAATGACTTTTTTTGTCCCTCACATTTAAAAGTGTAATTTTATGTCCCTTACATATTCACATCGGTCAAATTTAGTCCCTAACTAGGTTTCCGATCATTTTTTGGCCGGAATCCATCACATGCAAGGCATATGATCATTTTTTAAAGGTAAATTTGTTAAATTATATTTTACATAATCCGATCTATAGTCCTCCACATTTTATAAAATAAATTTTTTCGTCCCTCACATTTTATAAAATAATTTTTTTCATCCCTCACATTTGACAAAATGAATTTCTCCATCCCTTACATTTCAAAAAATGAATATTGCCATCCCTCACTAATTATGTATGTGAGGGAAATCCTAAAAAAAAATGTGTGTGAATACATTTTGTTTAAACACATGTATATGTCTATTTGATATTGCTTAATAATACGAATAGCATAAATATATGTATGTGTCTATTTGATTTCACTTAACAATACGAATACCATATATTATACGTGATCATTTGATTTCATCTGGTATTAGCTAGTAAATAATATTGCATTCATTGTCAAGTTGGCCAATAAAGCTATTTTCGGTCAAAATACAATAAGAATATGCAAATTAAGGTTCTGTTGGTAAATATTAGTCATAATCATACAAAAAGAGAAGATAGCCCACAAGTTGGACCCAATTACATACATGTGTTTATGCTATTATTATTAAGTAAAATCAAATAGACATATACATGTGTTTAAAAAAATGTATTCACACACATAATTAGTGAGAAATAAAAAATTCATTTTTTAAAATGTAAGGGATAGAGAAATTCATTTTGTGAAATGTAAGGGATGAAAAAAATTATTTTATAAAATGTGAGGGACGAAAAAATTTATTTTATAAAATGTGGAGGACTATAGATCAGATTATGTAAAATATAATTTGACAAATTTACCCTTCAAAAATGATCACGTGCCTTGCACATGATGGATTCCTGCTAAAAAATGATCGGAAACCTAGTTAAGGACTAAATTTGTCCGATATGCATATGCAAGGGATATAAAATTACACTTTTAAAAGTGAGGGACGAAAAAAGTTATTTTACAAAATATGAGGGACGTTTTGGACGATTTTCCCTTTATTTTATTTCTTTTTTATTTATTCATTCTCTTGTTTTTTCTTTTTCACTACTTTCTTTTATTTATTCATTCTCTTTTTTATTTTGTTTTACTAATATTTATATTAATTATTTTTATGCATAGTTGATTAACCACTATATTATTACGATCTAAATTTGTTACTATTATTATTAAAAATTAATGTATTTTAGACTCTGGACATATTGGCCTGGTTTGGAACCTGAGTTTTTTGATAATTTGTCTAGATTTTTACTGTAGTACACTGTAGAAATTTTTAGAAAAAATTTTTAAGATGAAATTTTTTTTCCTTTCTTTTTCTTTTTCTTTCTTTCCTTTTTCTTTTCTTTCCCTTCTTCTTTTTCTTTTTCTTCCTTCCCTCTCCCTCTTCACTTCCCTCACTCGTCACCTCTGCCCTAGCATTGAAGAGCCAGCAGATGGTAAAATTTTTTTTCCCTTTTCTTTCTTTTTTCTTTTTTTTCTTTCCTTTTTCTTCTCTTTCCTCTCTTCTTTTTCTTCATTCCCCCTCTCCCGCTACCTCTGCCTCCAGCTTTGAAGAACCAGCAGCCATGGTCAAGGGTATTTTTTTTTCTTTTTCTCTTCCCCTTTTCTCCCTCTCCCTCTCCCTCTCTGCTCCCCTCTCGCCCTCTACTCCCCTTCACCTTCCCCCTCTCTCTCCCGAAGGCAGAGATCCAGCAACCATGGTTTTTTTTTTTTTTTGCTTTTTCTCTCCCCTCTTCTCCATCTCCCTCTCTCCCCTTCTCCCTTTTCCTACTCTCCTCCCCTTCCTCCTCCCCCTTTGCCCAATGTGGTCGCATGACCAGATCACAGATGCGGTCTGGTATCGCGACTGCTTGCGATCTAGTCGCACGATCAGATCGCAGTTAGGGGAGGGTGGGCGGGGAGGAGAGGGAGAGAGGGGAGGGACAGAAAAAAAAAAAAAGAAAAAAGACAAGAAAGGGGTTGTAGATCGGTCAAAGGGGAAAGGGGATGGGGAAGGGAGAAAGGAAAAAAAAAGGAAGGCCGGCGTTGGAATAGGTGACCGGCGCCGGAAGCAGCGGCGGAGATGGTGGCCAGCGACGAAGGTGTGGTGGTGGATCAGGGTGGGGGAGAAAGAAGAAGAAAATAGGAAGTTTTTTGTGTATTAGATATTTTGAAGTGTGCAGGTTAAAAAATTTGATAAGTTTTTTCGGGTTTCTATAGCTAAAGTTGTTAAAAAACTAGTAGCTAAAAAACTTGGTAAACAACTGGGGTTCCAAACAGGCCCATTATTTTAAGTAATTTATGAAATAGCCTATGCACATACTTTGTGATCATTATTACTTTCAATAACAAACAGTAAAAGAGCTAGAATTAAATAAAGAATAAGTGTAAAAAGATTAAAATTTATGTATAGATAATAACAGTAAAGAGAAAAAAATAGTTAATCACATGAGAGAAGGGATAAAAATTTTAAAAAATATATAAAAAAATGGGCAAGTAGAAAAAGGGCAACAAATGATAAAAAGAAATAAAATAACAATTAATATAGAATGGACACTTCTATACTAAAATATGAAACAGGTGAATAAAGTGCCTATTTATTGAGTTGAGTAGCATAAAGTGTAACTAAGATAAAGTTGAAGGAGAATTGTGCTCTTAATCCCTTTTTTAACTCAATACACACGAGAGGCCCGACACTAAAGAAGGTACTATTGGCGGTGAGTTACTTGGTAGATGCCAGATAAAGGAGTGGCCTACCATATTGCTTAGTACTTTTTTTGATTAGTAGTATTACATTGCCGACTAACATACATGATTTTGTTAGTAATCATGTTAGTATAAATCAATTTTGGCACACTCTAATTTGGCACACCTGACCCCCAAAAAAAAATAATAAAAAAAAGATTTTGTAACTTGCACTTTTTCCCTTAACCTTCTTCGAATTCAAGCGACATAGAATAATTGAAGAAATGGAAGGTGACGTGCATGGGGAAGACAAGTGGCAACAAGGTTATGACGCCAGTTTGCTGCTACTCTGGTGTTGTTCGGCGCTTCAGCGGCTTAGCAGAAACGGGACGTCGGAGCATGAAGGGAACGTTAGGAAACAAAATTGATACGTCATGTCTATCCATCCATCTCCGTCAATTAAAATGTACTACTATTAACAATGCCCTTTGAGCATCCATTAAGAAAATCTTTAGATACGTGGCATTGTTTTATGTTGTTTTAGATTTTGTATAATTTGAATATGAAAAGTTATTAGAGAGAACATTATAAAAATTGATTATCCAAAATCAGAATTTATAAAACAAGAAATCACCAAATAATCACTTCATGCCCAAAACAACTAAATTACTTCTAAATAATTAGAAATAGGAAACATTAAGTTTGTTCCGTTGTTTGAGTAATTTGTTAAGCCACCTCAATCGAGTTGACAAGGACATCATTGTATAAATATATAAGAATAATGAAATGAAGAAATATAAATATATTTGTGAAAAACTTGTTTATTTTTCTGAAGAATTGAAACAAATGCTAGCTTTTAGTCGATTTCTTGGTATCCAAACAAAATAAAGGAATTTTATAGTAGGAAATCAATCTAGGCTCGACTTTCCAAGTGAATGCATGTACTAATTAGCAGATCATTGAAATAATCACATCCGATTTCCTTACGGCACAAGATGCTTGCGTAGATACCTAGTAGGACAATTTTAGAAACTTCCCATGAGATTTTTAACTATGTCATTAACCTCCCTTTAGGTTTTGAAAATTGCATGAACCTCCATCGAGACTTACCATCTTATAACATCTAAATCCAACAAAAAAAATTAAAAAGTGATATTAAAAGGAGAGAAGTTAATATGATTTCATCATTGTCCCCATCTATTAAATTATTTAATTAATATAATTCGAGGCTAAATATTAAAGAAAACACTAGAATTTGTGACTTATCATCAGGGTTTAAATCATATATGGCATAAAATAGTATATTATTCTATGTATTTCACTTAATATAAGATCTAAATTACTCTTTTCACTTACGACCACATTATGTCAAATATGACCAATAACAAATAATAATTAAAAAATCAGCAACCAAAATATTACAAGAAACGAATTTTAATACCATAAAAATCTCAGCAACTAACGTTAACATTTTGACAAGAATATTTATGATGTTAAAGTTTGTTCTTTGTAATATTTTAGTTGCAAAATTTTTGATTGTTTATTGTTGATCATATTTGTTAATGGGAATGTAATTAAAAAGAGTAATTTGGATATTGTGTTAAGTGAAAATATAAAATGATATATTATTTTTTGGTACTATGTATAATTTGATCTCTAATAATAAACAACAAATTTTCGTGCTTTTCTTTAATGTGTAAGTTGGTACTCCGTATTAAATTAATTAAATAATATAGTAGACGAAAGGCAATGATGGAATCATGTTATCTTCTCTCTTTTAATATTGTTTTTTAATTATTGGTTGGATCTAAATATTATAAGAAAATTAAACTCAAGAGAGATTAGTATAATTTTTAAAATTTGAAAAAAAGTCAGTGAAATAGTAAAAAACCTTAGGAGAGGTTTCTGAAATTATCCCATACCTAATAAACCCTTTTATGCAAATGCAATTGTTTTGTGACATAACGATAATAGACAACAAAGAACCCATAGAATACTAGATTCAGCAAAAGGAGAGGGACCAGTTTGAAAAAAAAAAAAGAGAAAAAATCACACTACGCTACAAGTCTACAACTTCCTAGAGAGACAGAACTCTATTCCATTCTATTCTATCCATAAAAAGTATTTATCCCTTCTCCTCCAACAAATCAACCTCAAAAAAAGAACTAAAAAGAAAAAAAACCAGTCCAACACCCACAGCGGCGTTGACAGAGAGAAAAGAAGCACATGAGGTCATTTGGTGGTGGCAGCAGAGGCATGGGCGGAGGAGGCAGCGGTGGTGGGAGCGTGCAGATGCTACGAAGTGTTCAAAGGGCTGTGAGAGCCCGAACTGTCGGCGGTGGGGGTGGCGCAGCCCATGAACCTTTCTCTCATACTCACCCCTCCACTACCAACACCGCTACTACTACTAATCTTGGTAGAACGAGACAAACTACTTGTAACAATAACAAGAACCAGCCCATCACGCTTTCTTCTTCTTCTTCTTCAACAGCTTCATCTGCTATATTTTCTACATGCAACAATCTCCTGCCAACAACAATATCAACTGCTGCACCACCCGCCTGGCCTTCTTCGTGTTCATCGCCTACGTTTACGGATGATTCTGATTGGGAGTGTATCGATGACTGTTATGAAGACTTCGTTTTTGGGACCGTTCCATCCAAGGACGAGGTCCATCATGCAGTTTTTGCTCTCCAGGAGTAAGTTTCTTGAATTCCATTTTTTCTTTTTCTTTTTTTTCATATAATTTCTTAAAATTTTGGAATGAATTATCACTTAGTTATGATTAACTTTCCAAGGATGATGTTTCGTACGGGGTTTCTCTATTCAAGGATGGAGTATAAGGAATACATATTGCTTGCTTAATTATGGAGATTTGTCTGACATCTAATTAATATGGTTATTTTCCTATAATATCATTATACCATGGATATTTTGTTGTTGGATTTTATTTTTGGGATGCTGATGTTGACTTTGATGTCGACATCGGGAGTCAAATATTCGGCTTACTGTATCAGTTCCCTGGGATTGGATAGATGAGTCAAACAAGTTTCTCTAACCATTGAAAAAAAATCCCATAATCATTTGCAACACCCAGCTATATATGCTAATTTGACATATTTATGCTGTTGCTTTACTGTTGATAATTATGCCATACAAAAGTACCATAAGAACCAAAATTCGTGGTGGTTTACAACTTACAAGCCTTGGAACCCCAGAGACTGTAAATGTAGAAAACAGCAAGTTATATACAAAAATTAGTTCTTCTTGAGTACAGCTGGGATTTCTTTTGCCTCCTCGTTTGAGATTTTACTAAAAATAATTAAAGAACAGAGCATAACGTAATTTGAGCCACAGTAGATAGACAGCATGCACTTACCTGTTAGAGCTTTATTATTTGTATTTACCTGGAGTTGATAATGAAATCTTCTTTCTTGAAAATGTGCGTCACATATAGTTTCTGAATTACTCAGACATCTTTAATCTAACGATATACAACCGTTAATTTTTATTTAATTCTTATGAAGCTTATGTTTACATTAGCAGTTAAGTCTTGGCATCAACTCACATTTCATTGTTTCATTGTCATAATATTGCCATTTCTTGAAATTTTGTAATTCTCAGGGCACTAGATCCAGCCTCAGCTAAATATTTGATCGACGACATACCTGCATACAATTTGGATGCTGACTTAGGTGGTCAAGTATCTGGCCTCACCGGTTCCCTGCAAAGATCTTCTCCATTTGGCAGCCAGTTGGATTGGATGGAGCCCTCATTGCAACTCTGCAGCCAGAGCACGTTGCAGGCTCATGAGCGAGTTCATGATGCTTTGCACTTGCTCAGGAACGAACCTTCAGTTCAGGTTTATTCTGCATGTCATGACTATTAGATTGTTATTGTTAAAGCTTTGGCGTTAAATGAATCATTGAAGGAAATATATGAACTTGGAAAAGCATCAGTTGTGGATCTACTTGCTTGAGTAATTTAGTTGTTTTTAACATCTCGTGATATCAAATTCCTCGCATCCCAGGGCAAATAGTAGCATGAACATGTTCATCAACAATTTTTGTTGTTGTTCTGTGTCTTGTTTTGTTGAGTCTTTTGTTGGGTTTATTGTCTTAACCAAGATTAGCTTTCATGTCATATTTTCTAAATAGAAGCTTTCGCTGCTTAATTGATAGAGAATGGTGGTATCACTATCTTCTGATAAAGCTGTTTGGGATGCTGTGTTGAATAATGAGGTAGTTCAGGAGCTCAGAGGGTCTCTCAGTCAAGGTTTGTAGTAAGTCCAGAAAATGGGACGTTATCTCCTCATTATAATCGTGGTATTAATGCTTGCAATTGTTGCCATTCATAGTTTCTTTGTTGCCCATTAATGTTGTTCTGATACATGAAGCAGGTAAAAATCCTGCTGAGAAGTCAGATGATGGTTCTGATCCAGCAAGAGGCTTTCTAAGTTGGGTAATTGTCAACACCAAAGCGACAGTCATGGAGCTTGTTGACAAGATTACGAAGCTAGTAAATGAACTATTCCGCACCGAAGGAGGAGGAGGAGACAGGACAGCTGATAGAAGAGCAGATCCTTTTGATGAAAAGCTGAGAGCATCGTTTCTGCTCTCGGTCGTGGTTATGCTAATCGTGGTCGCGGCTCGATCAAGCAAGGCATGATCATAGTACTCTAATTTGTCGACCTAACCGGTGGCTTTTCCTGCTGTGTAGGAAACGTTCTGTTGTACATCGAATTTTAAGTGGTTTTGTAAGAGAAAATGACATTCATGCATCTGTTTTATTCTGTTCGTTAATTTTCTACAGCTCAAGAAGATTAGACACCCATAATTGTACTTGGAAAAAAAAAAATCAGGGAGCAAAATGGTCTGGACGAAATGATACCGGTCAACGGGACAAAATTTTGCGAAGTGTATGATAACATAGAAAATCAATATGGATTTGAAAAATATGAAGATGAAAAGAATATACCGAACCTAAATAAGTCAATAGAAGTTTGCAATTCATCCAGTTACATTACTAATAAAGAAAAAGCAGGTTCCTAAAAGAAGAAGTTCCTCAACTGCCTAGAAGATTTTGTAAAGCTGGAGCACCTGTACAACTAGCTAGTATGCAAGACTGAAAGCACACTTCTCATTGACATCACCGATAAAAGCCTATTTATCAGCAAAATTCTCAAGCCAGATAAATCACCGGCGTCAGTAGATGATCAATATCTGGAGTAACGACAGCCCGCTTACTGACTTCTCCCAGATTGCAGCAGTGTTTGTCTGATGTGTTGATTGCCACAATGTCCTGAGCAAACGTACAATTGGAACCAGGAGAAACCTGCAAGTCGTTTCATCCTTCTAAGAGAAGCTCATAATAGCTACATAATGTCTTGTTCAAGCAATAACTGATAATGGCTAACAAACACACTGAAACTGCTTGTCCTAAATTTACCAAAAAAAAGGAAAAAATGAAGAATTATAGGGTATTGTGCAAAACAGAGTATTATCAGAGCAAGCTCTAGGAAAGACCTGTGCACATTGTCTTACTTGTCAAGCCCAGATATCATATGAATGCACCAAATCCCAGACTCAACCTTACCATTGAGCCAGCCCTTATCAGTACTTTGTTGAGAAAAGGAATATCATATAGTTTTCACTCATAAGCACCCCATAATTACGTTGGAAGCAGAATAATATATATCCAAAAAGGAAATTATTGGTTTAAATCACCAGGAAAAAAGCTAAGACATAACTCACATCGTACAGCATATCTCCGAGCTTCAACTTAACTGCACCACTCTTAAAGACCAATATTTTCCCCATGAATCCGGGTGGCAACTCCTCCAAACTGCATACATTCTTATTTGTGCCAGCAACAGAAGACACGGAGCTGTTAACTATCTCTTTTCCCTTTGCATCACCTGAAACCATTGGAAAGCTACCAGGAATCTCCTTCCCTTTTGCCGTGGTTGGAGCAACACTTCCACCTGGTCTAGAGCTGCCAGCTCTGTGTTTATGATTCACGCTGGCTGAAGCATGTTCAGATGTACCAGTAGAACCTGGCCCAGATTCCCGTTTAAGAAAGGGGAGGTTAGCAGGAAATTGAAGAAAAAGCATCTTCTCTCCATCAACTTCTTCCTGTACATCAATAGCAAATTCATTAGCAAAAAGAAACTCTAAGATCAATCTGATAAATGTTCAAAATATGAAAACAGACACACTAACACAAATATAGCTACCAGCAGACCAAGATCTGATGCAGAATGTATGGCACTTTCATCATACTCCGAAGCTGCTTTAGCCTCCCCAAATTCTTCCCGATCAAGAACCTCTAAAAGCTCAAAAAGCATACCATTAACAGACAAAAAACAGTTAACACCCCAAAGAAACAAAAGACTAGCAAATTCAAGGTGACCAAAAGCCAAAAAAAATAAAATAAAAAGTTAATCACTTATGATCACCCGATTAAAATAGTTTTCTCTCTTTTAGATACCAGGAGAAATCATGTGATTAATTGGTTAGTGCAAAACTGCAAATATGTCCTCAGTATAGTTACTTATCTCTGCCACAGCATCTCCCTGCATTTATACTTGATATCTCCACCGTATATTAAGCTGAAGCTATGGGTTTGGTATTTAAAAAAAAAAAAAAAAAAAAAATTCTGTAGCTTAAAGTGTTTCATAGCAACCCTTTCTTTACCTAATTTTGTAATGTCCCACTTCCGTTTCTTTTCCCATGACATTCAACAGAATACTTCCTTGAATACTCCACCAACTAATGTATCCAGTAAGTAATTAGGCTCACATATAGTGTGACAAAAACATTAGTTAGTAAACTTTTGATGTCATTGATACTCAACACTTGTTAACAATCATCATGGAGAAAACTATCTCTGTTACTTAAAGCTCTATTTTATCCCCTCTCATGTAATTGCAGTGTTGCTAGAAAAACCTGTACTCCAAAGCAAAAAAAGTTTCTGCATTAAATTCTGATGAAAAAAAAAAGATAAAAAGATCAATCTAAACACCCTATCTGCTTTAAGCATCATCAAGTTTACTGTGTGCAACAACCAACAAATCTCCAAGTATGATGTTCAAACACTGGAAAGAGAATTTCTGTTGTCTTGATTTCCTTTAATTTAATGCAAGCATTCATGAAAAAGCAATAGCCATGCAAGGCCTTGAAGGGACTTCAAGATCAGCAAGGAGGGACAACATGTCAGCGCTCATCCTGTCATCACTAAGAGTGATTTGAGCTATACCTGGGTCTCCAGAGTAAGGTCTTCTTATGGGAAGAGCAACAGGATAGTAGCTGTGGTTGTAATCCTAATACAGAATAACAAAAAAGTAATTAGTGAGTCCTTTTATTTGTGCTCGCAAAGACTCAGTTTGTCGTAGGCATGAAAGAAAAAACAAACAACATTTATTACCCAAGGTTCTTTATATTCTCTCTTCTTCTGCTTGAATGAAGTAACAGTGGCATCTTCTGAACTTTCAACCATCCAATCAATTTTACTAGTTGAAGGCAAAGAATGGATGTCCCACCTAGTATCTGCAGCAGAATCTCTCAATCCCGTGCCATTACTTCTGTCACCGGAACCTTCCTTAGCTGAGCCATATGTCCTTAAAGAAGTTGATGATGCAACTCCATGGCTAAATGCAACTTGAACAGAAGCTGAAAGTTTATACAAGCACATGAGTTCATAACTGACCACTCAATATAAAGAACTAACAACAACTTATGATGCAGCCATAACTACATGTGCCTGTACAAAACCCACTGAGTAGGACAACTCTATTCAGCTAAAAATATGATGTAAACGATCTCAAAGAACAATGATATTTACTTTAAACGTTGTTCATATATCCAATAATTATGCAGCAGTGTTAAAAATTTTGTCGCTTTATAGTGTGCTGTTTAACCGATCACTCCGGATCACCGGATTGGTCTTATTTGAATTGATCAATTACAAGTTTGGTGTTAAAGTGAAGTTGTAATACAATCATCAAGTGATAACTGAATTCCTAACACGCACATACACACCCCCCCCCCCCCCCCCCCCCCCAACAAAAAAAAAAGGGTAAGTGAATGAGATTACATTTTTTCTCAGCTTGAGGCCATCTTCTTGTCAGATGCTCCTGTACACGAAGTGAGATGAGTAACATGTATAACAATGAAGGGCATTGCACTTCCCAAAAACACAGGAAAACTAAACCACAAATAACTAGAGTAAAAAGGTTATACATTGTTCCATTTCTACAATAGAAGCTACTAAAGCCCCTTCTGCATTCTAAATATGAGTTATTAAAAAAAGAAAAGAAAAAGCAGACCATCAAGGGAAATTCAGCTTCACTTTTCTTACAAAAGCTTAGCCCTAATGCATAAAAATCTGCCAACGATGTGTTTTTGATGTCATTAAGGAACTGAAGTAAGTGATCAAGTAATTATTAATTAACAAGCCAAAGTTATGTGAGGAGGTAGTAAATGCAAGTTCCTCTTAGCTCTTCAAGATTAAGGCTGTCCTTGATTGCAAAAATCTAAACAGCAGCATGCAAATTTTAAGCACGATAATGATGCATTTGGTAAAAGAGGGCCTCCAATGTCCGTTTAATTGCAGACAATCTCGTCTTGATTGACTTCTGTAAGTTCATATTCAATTGTTCAATTATTCAGTCTATATATTTCTTTTCCCCAATTCGAGTCCTTTGCTTCAGTTAAAATGTGTCAAATATCACAAGGTCAAAAACGAACCCATACAAAAGCAAGCAGTATAATTCTGTACATTTTTGGAACTACCGTAAAACTTTCTCATTAAAGATTTACCGATATCAACATGCATCAATCTAGTAAAACAAGACTTCATTTTATGCGGCACGGTAACAATTATAGTCCTTAATGACATTAACTCCTAGATACCAGCAAAAGTTTGCGTTAGAAGGGGAAAAAATGATACTAAAGGATATGTTAATTTATCCTGACCTTGTACGGTCTATAAAAGTCACAGCTATAATAATTAGTATAAAATGCAATATTGTATATATATATACATTTTACTTAATTAATCTTTTATTTTTAATTAAAAATCTAACATTTGAAATGTATCTTAACAGACCGTTGCTATACATAAATCTGATATAAATAGCGAATGAAGGCGCGAGCATTACTTACGTTAACTTTGCGAAGGAGAGATTCATTAATCTCGTCATCTCCGCCATGATCACCACCACCAGCTACTTCACTGCCAATTCACAAGTATTAAGAGTTTCAAGGTAAGAAAAAAGACGATTAATTGGAATTTTTTTTTTTATTTTTAAAAAAAGGTGTTAAGGAAAATGAAATACGTTTTGGGTTGAAGAGGTGTGGACTTCCTCCTGGGTGGAGGACCTTTAGGAGCAAATTTGACCTGTGAAAAATACATGGCAAATTGAGATTAAATCGCAAGTAAGGAGCAAACCAGGACGCGAATGAAGGGAAAATCACAATTCAAAACAGAAACAAGAGAAAGTGGTGCAGACCCTTCTAGGAGTAGAAGGGGACAAATTCGGTTCCATGTAGCTTCTGGTGCAATTCCAATAAATTAGAGCTCGTAATCAGGAGAAAGGGCTATGATTAGACAGATCGGAGCGACAGATTACCGGAATTCTACCGAAAAAATCAAAGCGATAGGCTTAAGGTCGGAGAAAGATGAAGAAGACGATATGACCGGAAAAGAAAAGGGGCAAAAAACATGAACCGAGTCGAACCCTGGATGGACGTCTCAACGAGACGTCTGAACCACCAAGCCAACGTGAAATTTGTTGAGGGACGGCAAATTTTAATGGAATAACTACATTCACACACCCGAAAAAAGTAAAATAAAAAAAAGGGAAAATTACTTCTTATGTCTGCACTTTCCATTTTTAGTAATTACTTCTTTGCAAAATTCTCAGGTGTTTTGGACTAAAATGAAAAACTCTACAAGAGACTTAAGAATATTTTTTCATACAATCTAAATTAGAACTATGGGATTTGTTAAAATTGAACCAAGATATCAATTTCAGTCTCGTACAACTGTTTTAGGAGTATTACTTTTAAAATTTTGGCCCTCGAAGTTTTAATTTTTTTTTTATTAACTTTCGTTGTTTCCCTAGCCAGTTATTGTTACTCCCATAAAGCGTGAAGGAATTACTAGTAATTACTGCAAGGTTGCTTTTGGGTTTGAGGGATTTAATGAAATATTTAAAATTCTCATAAATCACTCCATGTTCTGTAGATAATTTAGGAAGCATTTGAATTTAGAATTCATCTATTATTTTAGTATGTAAATATATTCAAATAATTGATAAATTACAATTTTGAATACCTCTTAATTAATGCAAACGATGGATAGAGATTGGACAGAATTTCAAATTTCTTCTCACATCCCTCAATCTCGTGTAGGATTATAAAAAAAAAAAAAAAAAAAAAGAAAAAAACCAGAGCTGTCCCAATTCCAAAGTAATATATACATAACTGTAAACTTCATCACACACTACTGTTTCCTCACTCTTTCAAGTATTCATACAACAACAGTTGATGCTAGTGACATTTTGGCAACAAAAAAAAAAAAAAAAAATACAACAACAGTTGATGTACTTCCGCTAGGAGTATTAGATTCGGTCTTTCAAGGTTCTATATATTCGTTAGAACTTAGGAGTATAGGGTTATAAAAATGTCGTGTTCTTGCAATTTCATTTGATTGCGTTAGAGAATATTACAATTTTGGTACCAAATATTTGGGATATCAACAATTTAATCTTCAAAGTTTGAATAAAAACAAATATAGGCTTTGTTTGGTAAGCAAGTTTTTGGCCAAATTTATCTGCTACAAATTTTTTAATAACTTTAGCTGCAATAATCTCAAAAAATTTCTCAAAATTTTTAAACCATACACTTTAAAATATTCAAAAAATTTACACACTTCAAAATTTTTTTCTACAACTGCTACATTAAATTACAGTAAAATTTTAAACAAACACTAAAAAAGCTTATTGTCAAACGGAACCCTAGTTCTGAATGTTTCACTTTCCAAATACATTTAATTCAATTGACTAGTTTTGACAAATTGTTACTTGAATTTGAACACAAAAGTAGCACATGCTGGAGGTTAAATTTTGAAAAATATTAGAAAAAATGAAAAAAAAGAGTTTATAACCCATAATTTGTAATTAAAGGTACTAATTACTCATATGCACATTAGTGCACTTTAATTATAAATTATGGCCATTAATACTTTTTCCTTTTTTCTAATTTTTTACAAAATTTAATCGTTGACACTTACTATTGGTGACCGAATTCCAGTAATAATTTACCAAAACTATTCAATTTAATTAATTGTGCATCGAAATTAAAACATTTAAAACTAAATTTACTTTTGTCCAAACTTTAAGAGCTAAAACTGCCAATGCCACAAATATTTTGTACCGAAACTGTAATTTTCTCATTGCATTATAACTTGTGTCTTTTTTCCCCTCTTTTTGTCTGGTTTACTTGTCCTTTGGGAGAATGTAGCGCTCACCCCACTACAATATTGATCTAACAATACGCATAAGCATAATTATTAGCATCACGATTCGGATCATTGAGTAAATGATCCGTATCCAATATTTCAACTATTTTGTCCAACAATGATCCGTATCCAATATTTCAACTATTTTGTCCAATAATCTCGATTGGATTTAGAATAAGAAAGAACAGAATTTTTAGTGAAATCCATACATTTCCAATACATTATATTACAACCCCAAAGCTTTCATTAAATTCAATATCACCCCTAATATTTTAAATAACACTTTTTTTTCTTAATTAAATATACCATTATACAGTTTACGCGTGAGTTGCATTATCTATCATTATATAAGTGGATAGTAATCTTAAAAACCATTAATATGACCATTTGCTAATTTTTTGTAAGATCTGCAATTTGCTCTTTTTTTTTTTTTTTTTTGTTTGAGCACAACATTGTTACAATTGGTAATTGTATATTGGGAACTTCTAGTCAAGCCCAATTTGGCATTATGATACTTCTACTAAAAAAATACGTGGATGCTAAAAGTAGTTTGAAACATTTAGCGAACATTATCCTCTATAATTAAAAGTGAATTTTTTGATATCAAAAACACTTTTTAGCAAAAGATCCAAATTGATACTTTTAAAATAACTGTTGTGTTTTAAAAAAAATAAATCATTAAATTTAATTATTTTATCCGATATTACGAACTAACAGAGAAATATATTTAAAAATTTTTAAATTACACAGTATCCAATATAATATAATAAATACTTGTTGAATTATATATCCAAACAATGCATTTAAAAGCACTTAGACACTTAAAAATACTTCTATTAAAAGATCTGCTAACCCCAAGCGGACCATGGACCTGAATTATGTTCCATGACAATGGATTCAAGTGGCAGATTAACCATCTGAATATTGCGCGTATTACAAAGCTAAGTTTAAGTTTCCATAGGGCTTCACGAGGCTTGATTTATCCTACACTACACGTATCATTTCTCAGCCTTTACACACTCGAGCTTAAGCTATGCTTGACAAATTAAGAGGAAGCAAAAACATATCCAGACGGGGTTTAGAACACGCCTTACAAATACTTAAACGAGACAGACACAAAATGAGATCACTTCACCGTAAATGCAGTCACAGAAAAGGCGAAAGAAACTCTCTGGTTAATTGACCTATCATTTTAAGTTTGAAAGGAGTAAATATGACTGAGTGGACAAACAATTGGAATCAGCAAAATGTGCCCAAGAATATTAACAATTCTAAGCTATTGTGCTTAAGAACAAAAAAGCAGGGCAGTTCATCTAATCCACTTCTCTACCACAAAATCAAGCACTAATCAAAAGACAATTGAAAACATTGAAAATTATGGGTTTGACAATTCATACTTAAATCCCAACCCTAGCGAAGCGCACTAAGAAAAATGTTTAGTCAAAGGTAGAAAGCTTTTGTCACGGAAACATTCTAAAATCTTGTGTAGACGCATAACCCAAGAAAGTATAAAATTAAATCTACTCGTATACGTTTGAAACCCCTCCATGTTAAAGGCTTCAGATATACAAGTACCAGCATACATCCAGGTACTTTGTCAGAGGATTGGTCAATCTTTTTCAATACTCCCTTAACTTCAACCTAGATCGCCACCTCAAAAACATGGACTTCCTCTCACTCTATGTAACCCACAAATAACAACCAACAATTATCTCATTTTTGCAGTAACTGAGATCCCTTGTTCCACCAATTCCCCCTTCTGAGCTACCAAAGAAGAAAATAAGAAGTGTGAACAAAGAAAGAAAAGTTACATTTAAAGCATTCTAAACCTGCTGCACATGAAGTGGAGAAGATATCAGAACCAAATGTATGTAAGTAAAAAATTAGACATAAAAAAGGTCTGAGACGTGTTTTCAAGTTTAACATACCCTGGAACTTCATATACCAAGAGGAGGTCATCTTCTTGACAGGAAGTGTAGATGCAAGCAACACGCTGCTTCGAAAGCAGAGGAGCCAAAAGTATTGAATAAGCACAAAAAAAGTGGGCACATAGATAAAAAGAAGGGGCCAAGTTAGAAACACAAACCAAAAGCAAATGACAGAACAAATCACGACAATTAGACCAACAAAGTATGTCAGCAATCAATCATGAAGGAAATCAAGACGGATAAAAAATTATAAAACTTCTGAAAGGCAGCGGCAACCGTCCAATCACCACAGACAGGCCTACAAAGCAGTAATCAGTAGAGATAGAGCTTTTATATTTGATACTCCAATTCTTCCTCATGAACTGAACATTGTCCCAACGCTCTGCAAATGTCATAAGAGCACTGCAAGGTTAAAGATGTGAGTCCCAAACTTCCAACAAGTAAGTCATGGCAACAGGTAAAAATCAGGTTCACAAGTGCTCCAACAAACCAGCCTGAAAAATATTGCAATGTAAACAATGAAGAAGCGTTAAGATGGACGGAAAAACCAGTTAAAAATAAGAAACATGAAGCAAGCAGATGATTAAGTTATGCATTAGTGACATTTTTCGAGTATTAAGAGGAGGATGAATTTCGGCAAATGAGAGAAGTCAACCCTGATAAGTATCCATTGGAATACGCTCATCACTGCATGGTTAGACCAATGAGACATGTAATTCATGGTCAAGGAAGCATATGGTTTCAACCCAGCACTGAATAGTTTTACATGTTCAAGTAGAGATAGATACTCAAACAGTTAACTTCCAAAATATTGAAAATGCTGTATAGCATAACACATAGGGTTGCACCACAGCTTTAGCTTTTCCACTTGTCAGACATTTCCTATGAGGTAAGAACTTTGCCCACACAACTCAGCAGTCATCATGGGAATTCCCTTGCAATAAGATCCCAACCTAAACGAGAACTAATGGTATTTTATTTCAGGTACAATATAGGTAGCTTCCAAGTACTGAGCGATAAACATCTCTTGCTACAAAATCAATGATGGTTAAAAATCTAGGTCCAATGGGTGCTGAGAGTGCAGAAGTCAAAGGCAGTCCACAGTTCCAGAACCCCCTTTCCCCAAGAACGGGTGAAAGGGAAAAAGGCTGGACCAGTATAATTTCTGTTGCAGTTCAAGTAACACTAGAACAACTAGGACAAGTCAGCCCCCCCCCCCACCAAAACCCCCAGAAACTCTCCCAATATAGACTTCTGAAACATGTCTCCCTCTGCACAAGATTACTCCAGAAAGCCATTAGTCGCCAATGAACAGAAACATGTGACAAATGTTCAGGGCAACACTCCACCTTATCCTAAACAGTTCTGAATTCATCAAATGCAAATGCCAAAAAAAGACAGTCTCAAATCAACCAACATGTCTCCTATGTTTGGTAGAATAAAGGAGTCAACAAGGGAATTAGGAGAGCTTACCTTCCCTTTGAACGCCATATAACAAGAATCACATCCTCATTTCATCTCAGCCATGAACTTCTCATACTCTGAGTCTGCACCATAGGTCTTCTCTGCAGATGACACAGGTGGAGGCACAGGCGGATTGGAGGCCCAGGGAACATTAGTCACACTCTGTGACTGGTCCAGAGTAGGGGGAGGAGGTGGTGGTGGTGGTGGTTGTGCCATATTGTAGTAACCTTGATAGCTGTATGACGGTGTTGAATACTGGCCATTTGGTGGAATAGCAGCAACAGAGTTACCATAGGCATACGTGGGAACAGATTGAACAGGAGTTGTGCTCTGATGAGATTGGACTCCAGGTGGGTAACTTTGCTGTGTATCAACAGCTGAAGCATACGTCTGTTGTGTTTCAGCAGAAGACACAGTTGTTGATGGAACAGCTGAAGTTGCTGTCTGCATTGGAGGAGGATACTGTACTCCATATGGAGGGACAGGTTGCCCAGTATACATGGCCGACCCGGGAGGAGGAGGAGGGTAAGAGGCATAAGGAGGAGGAGGAGGAGGAGGTCCCCATGGAACTAGAGCTCCTGTGTAGCTTCCAGGTGGTGGGGTTCCAAGAGGCCCACCTGCAGCATACTGCTGGGAAGGATAAGCACCGGTTGGTTGGGGAGGAGCAGGGTATGTAGGCATCGCAGGGGCAGGAGGGCCTGGAGGCACAGTGGGTTGAGGCGGTTTACCAGCCACTCTGACAGCTATTGTCCTACCATCCAGACGATGACCATTCATGCTAGCAATAGCATTATTAGCCTGTTGAACATCAGCATACTTAACAAAACCATAGCCTTTACTCAGACTAGTGACGCGGTCCTTGATAACCTTAGCCATAACAATTTCACCAAAAGGAGAGAATAGGCTGATTAAACCATCATCGTCCAGAGTGGGGGGCAAGTATCCAATGTAGAGATTGGTCTCATCGTATTCCTTGGGCTTGATCAGGTTTGCCCCTAAGCCAGGCGTGGTGCTACTCACACCACTATTATTGCTGCCGTTGCTGGCCCAAGGAGGATTGCTTCCAGGAATACCAGGAAGAGCAAGAGCTGCAGAACTTTGTTTGGTTGAAGATTCAGGAACAGTCCCACCCAACTCAGCCAGGAAGTTCTGATATTCGTCATCCATCTTCTTGCCTGTGGTATTCTTCACTGGACAGTCAATAGTGGGGTGCCCACCATCGCCACAAATCTTACACAGAACATCACTTTTAAATGTTGAAGTTTTAGACGGACATGCATACTGCCTATGGCCTGGTTCACCACATAACCTACAATACTCCTCGTCTCTAATAGTCCCATTCAAAGCAGCAAGCTCCCTGAGCTGTTGCCTCTTATGCTCATTAAGCACTTCATCAACAGGCTGCAAGAGCTTCTCCACCATGGCAGCGGCTGCATCAAGTGACTCCTGAGTTTCAGCTTCCACCAAAACATGTAAATCTTCATTCTCTGAGGGATCGGGCTTCAAGTCCCTTTTCTGCTGTAACCTACCTTCCTTCACAGAGCCTTTACCTCGAATAACAATCTTTGCGCCTGTCTCTCTTTCCATCCTCTTCTGAGTATTACCTCTAGGCCCAATAATCAAACCAATAAAATTATAACCAGGGAACTCTTTCATCGGGATGTAGAGCTTCTTCTGAAGCTTAGGAGGCCTGTAATCAGCAGGTGGCTTAAAAGCGGGATTTTTCTTGAGTATTTGGGATATAATCTCCTGCCTCTCCCTATTCAACTTCTCCCGTGCACGATATTCCCTAGTATTAATCCTGATGCCCATATTATCGTAAATAGGTTCAGGCGAAGGTGAGCGTGCACCTTCAGGCCTGTCATCTAGGGGCAAACCAGATTGCAACTTTCGAGTAATCTCAATCAATCTGCTATTAAGAGCTTGAATTTCAGGGTCAAATTCAATACCTCCAGTAAGCTCCTTCATGAAATCCGGCAACTGAATCACCGGCTGCGGCTGATCATCCGCCCACCTAGATTTCCTCTTCCTCCCGCCAGTCCCTGTCCCCGTCCCATCGCCTCCTCCGGTCCCAGCCCCACTTCCATCGCTGCTGGCCTCGCTCGGAGGAGGATCCCACCTGCTCCTGCGCCTTCGCCTGCTGGTGGTCTCCTCTTCACCTCCCGACTGGTCCTTGTCGGTGCCGCTATGCGTGTTGGTCAAGCCATTCTCAGAAAGCAACGGTCTCAGGACCTCGAGTTTCGGAGTACTTTCACTGTTCTCTCCGGTTAAAACCTTCTCCTTTATCGGCTCACCCGCAACGGAATTCTCGAGTCCGCTATTCTGCTCGAACTTAGTTAAGGTTTCTTGAAGCTTGTGGTTGTAAGACTCATAATTTTGTTGGGATTGATCCTGATCTTGAGATTGGGAGTAGGAATAAGAAGAATTGGAGTAATTTTGGTAGTAAGATGAATCTAGGGTTTGGGAAGAGTACTGATCGTAGGAGTATTGCGGAGGAGGAGCAGGAGGGTTTTCTGAAAAAGAAGCAGTAGATTGAGATTGAGGGTTTTCCGAGTAGCTGGATTGAAGCGCGTCCATCAGACGATGGATGAAAAAGCGGAGTTGGGGAAATTAATTGCGAATGGATTTGCAGAAGGGGAAGAGATGAGTAAAAATCGATTGGAGAAGAAGAGGGAAGGTGGGGATGTATTTATATGAGGGTTGGGTTTTATAATCCTTGGTCTGGCCGTAAACGTCCTCAGATCGATCTAGCCATCTAGGGTTGGATTAGGATATCCTGGTTCAGATGAGGCGGTTCACACATTCTCGCTGCTGCTGATTCATGGCTTTGTGGCCCGTATGGGTTTCGTATGGGCCTGTGTTTCAGCCTGTTGGGTATCATGGGCCTAAAATGCAGGAATAAGATTTTTGCGGTCTCCAAAAGATAGTCGATGCTCTTAGGGGCAGGCGAGGTCCCCCTAATTTGAGAAGAGCACGCGCCGCACCTACTTGAGTTTTGATGGACTGTATACTTACAAATTCGAATTGAATAAATCCTACTAGTTATTATTCGAATTTGAGTTCAAATTCATCAAAATCAAGCTCAATTCAAGTCGAAAATATTCGTTAAGGGCCAAATTCAGCATATCTCAATCACATGAATCATCTCGGTGAACTCTACCGGTTTAATCAGCTTACATTATTGTATTCAGGCTGTAAGCTTTTCCATACGGAGAAAACAAATCTTATTTTTTATTTCTTTAGTTGCACAATGTTTTGAAATTTTGAAATTCAGTGCGCGGGACCTGCAACTGCAAGCTGCAATGTACGAGTTGTTACTAAAGGAAATTGCTTGTGCAACACAACAGTCTATTTGTTAAGCTTGCAAAGTGATAAGATGATATGACAAGAATGCATTAATCTTTTTGGGTAGGTAAGAATGCATTAATCTACTATCATGTCTTCACTTTTCTCTGCCGAAATAACAAGAATTATTTCGCTTTCTCCTCTAAATCACACTCCAAGGACCATTTTGAGAGCATGTTGGGTGCAAATGATACTACTTTTATCCATCTAAATCACAATTATTTCGGTGTCTTCACTTGTATCCATCTTAACTGCCTTATGCGCTAATAAAGCGTGTTAATACTTGCAATTGTAATTCATAAATTATTGTTTTCAACGAAAACTATAGCTAAAGTATTTCTAAAAAGACCCGTTTAGATCAAATAGATGTTTTGATACGCTCTTCACATATTCTTAACTGCAGGATGCTCTATTTGAATATTCAATCTACAGCCCACAGAAGGATTTGAAATCCCTTTTGGTGGCCAGTTTTATCTAAAACAAGTTGATTAGATCGAGTTTAGTACATGCAAATACATAAGCAAGCCATCAAAAAATTCAAAGCACCATCTTTCTCTTCCCTCGTCCATCATGATTGGTGCATTTAAGACATTACAGCATATATCACGAAATTGTTGATATTTCTCTCACAAAAGAGCCATTTCCATTTAAGGGCTGCCTCTTCGACTTTTATTGCTGAAGAGGGTGTTGCATAGAGGTGGCAAAATGGATAAATGGTTCATAATTGGTTTTGACTTAATGGATGGTGGATAAAATTTATCCAATCCATTTAAATCCATTTAATAAATGGATTTAAATGGATGGATCTAAATGGATTAAATAAAAACCAATTATCCATTTATAATCCATTTAAATATTTTACTAATTCCCTTATTCCACATTTTTCTAGTTTAGAAGACAGCCCATGGAAATGTAGTAGCTGATTAGTCCAAACTTACGAAGACTCCCCAAGTCCTCGGACATCTTTTTCTGAGCCTCCGAGGCCAACACCCAACATCAACTGACCGCAATGGCGAGAGCGATGGCCCATTGGCTGGCGAGCCGTTTCAGAAGTTCATTTCCTTTCTGTTTCTTTTATTTGGTTTTTAAGTAAATGGATATATATGGTTTTTGTGGATAATTCATATAAATCCATTTAATTTAATGGTTTTACTTTGATTAACCATTTAAAACCAATACTATAAATGGATAATCCAAATCCATTTAATTATGGATTATATGGATGGATAAATGGATCTCAATCCAAATTGCCACCTCTAGTGTTGCAAGCTTTCTGCTACATAAGTCCGATATGCAAAAGCATTTTAGCGCAGCTTAATTCACAAAACAAACTGCAAAAAGAACATCAAAGAGAAAAGATTACAACCGGTAGACAGCCAAGTCCCAGTCATGATGGTCTACTCGGAAGCAGATGACTTGCGCAGCGCAAAAGGCCCATGACGCCTTTCTCTAAATTGGGTCTCCATCCTCTTGCAACCATCCAAGACAGCAGTCAACTCGTAAGGGGGAGCATCAGTGGCCAACCACTGCTCAACATAGAATATGGACTGACTACACGCTTTGTGTGGGCCCGTGGAGGTGACTTCGATGTAGTCACAGTACCAACCATGGTGGGCTCCAGAACCATCAGAGGTCAAGTTGAGCCTGCAAACGGGTGAACTTATGCATGGGCCTCGTCCAGTAAATATATCCAGACTGCCCCTCTCAAAGTAGTCATGTTGTGGGCCCATTAGACCCCAATCCCTGAGATTTGGGATCCAAACTGATTTTCCTGCGGAGTCGCCAAGAGTGACGCTAATTCTGGAGTCAGTTCCCGCCTTTACGATGCTTCCAGTTTGTACGTAGAGAGTGTATACGCATTCATTCTGCAACAAAAGCAGCATTCAACATTGCAGATAAGGCCAAAAAAAAAAAAAAGAAAAGAAAATATTTTATGATCATGTAACAAAAGTTGTCTATATTTTTCGGCAAATTTGTCTGGTCAAAAGCAATTCTGATAAACCCATAATCTGCGGCAGCCATGCATGGATTTTGAAATGATTCTGGTTGCATGATCTAATGATTTTGCTGGTAGAGTTTGATTTGATCAGATAAAGTATGAAGATACCAAGATCAAAGGCCAGAGCATCTTCATTCAGAAGAGTGTAGCTGGGAAACAAAAAGAAAAATGAAACAACAAGAACAAGAAGGAAAAATGAAAAATCTTCCTACTTTGCATGCACCAACGCAAAAAGAACGTTGAACGCCATAAAAAATGAGCACCAGCAAGCACGATCTAAGATAAATGTTTAACCAACTACTCATCTGTAGAAGATCAGCTTCAGATTACAGCCGATTCAGTCAGTAACTACAGAGAAAAAGCTTGTTGAAAATTTGTGGTCTACAGCAATATATACTAAGCCGCTACGCAGATTGGCTTAGGTTCGAATCAGTGAATTTGGATCGCATCTTCGAATTCACGAAGAAGATCGCCTAGAGCTGCTGCTTGACTAGAAAGCAGATTGATATATTATTACATGCATAAAGGCAATATTGCAAGTACGTCTGAGATTGATCCGAGTAATTAATGCAATGCCCAGTAGTATATACTACCAACGACGAGGGAATGTAGTAGTAGATGTTAAGAGAGGTTTACAGATGGATGGGCGGCAACAGCAGAAGCTAAGACGACGGTGGCGAGTATTAGCAGCATTGATGATGAGAAGTGGCGACTCGTCATCTTCTTCCTCCCTCGTAGCAAGATCTGTTATTTGAGCGTGACATAGAAAATAAAAATACTGCTGCTTGAGCACAATCAACTCCACTCTACAGAGGTATATAAACGGTTCTGGTTCTGCACTACTATTACTGTATTCATGGGTTTGATCGGTTCAATGCATCACCGAGTCCCTCGTCATTGTTTGTTGTTCGTAACCTGTAAGGACCGACCACTGCCTGTATAAATTAATTTTGCATTTTCCTCCATTGAGCTTTAGTATTGCCACTCACCCAAGAATCAAGACTGACTACCTTTTTCCTCCCAAACTAGAATTTCGCCCTGCCTCAGCACAGTCTCTTTTCTTATTTATTATGAATTTATATAAATATGAATAATTTAAATATGAAAATTAACAACGATCCCACATGTTCATTCATATTAATTTTAAAAAATTAATGTATGCTAAATATTCAATTATTTACTAATTTTTTAAAAATTTATTTACATACTTTCACTATAGTATGATAGTATATATCAAATAATATATCCCATATAAAAAACTTGGTATATATTCTTTTTTTTATAAATATTTTTTTAGATAATTTAAATTTTTATAATGATCATAAATCTAGAACTATATATTCACATTTAATCCAATAAATATTAAGTAGAACTATATATCAAGTAGAAAAGATCCGGCAATCCAGATTTTTTCATCAATAAATATTTGGATAAAAATTTTTTTTTTTTCCCTCGCATACATGTCATAAGTTTGAGAGAAGACACTTAAGACTATCGTCTTTGGAAAATTTTATCATTATCTGAATCAACTAGATGAAATAATGTCAACTAAACAAATAAGGACCCCATGATCTTATTTGAATTGTAATTAATGTGCAATTAGTGGATTTCGCAATCTTCGTTAAACTATTTTTATTAGTCAACTTTGCCAAGCAGTTGATTCGGACCGTCACAAAATGTCTCTGTCATGCTTAGGTTACTTTTACGGGATGAGTTAAAGGTCTAGACCACTTTAATGGGCCAGTATGAAATAAAGCCTTCTGGGTTTTGAATCCCCAGTCCCTATCAGGCATGGCTATTTTTAGGCATAGCAAAGGGTGGGATGCGCAATTTCTTGGTAATTTTCGTTACCTTCGTCAGCCTGTCCTTTTAACTCCTGAAAGCGTGGTTTCTTATGAGTAAACGATTTTAATTAACTCTTCTAGCAAATCCTTATACTATATAAGAATGAGTTTAGGGTAAATATGTTCTTTGGATTTCAACCGTAAGGGTAGGGCCATTTTGGGAATGTAAGAGTTTGAAGTGCAATTGGAGTATTGAATACAAGTCATTATAGCTAATTTAGTTTTGTTGTAATTACTTAGATGTCCTTTTAGACATTTAAAGCTAGGGGTGATAGATATCCGATTGAACATTGGGTATAACTAAATTCAACTTGTGTTTTAATGAAATAACATGAAAGCCCTTCTAATCATTTAATTGTATTAACATCCAAGTCGCTTAATTTTCTAAAGCATTTCTCATCAGTTATCTGCAAACTTATGATATATAGATATTAAAACACAATTAATGCCAATTTGTAGAGAAGTTTGCTTTCTTGGCCGTTACCCCCATCTGTTCATATTCATTTCATTTACTTACAACTTTCTTCCACCACAATCAT